CCATTCTTAATCCCCTTACTGGTGCAGGAGTCATCCAACCTATGTGTTAGACAAGGAAAGAAGGCTGTCAAACAGGGTTAGTTGTAAGGAGGTGTGGACTAAATTACTCCAAAATATACTTAGAATCCACCAGCTTCTTCCCATCTTCACCACCTTAATCCAAGATGCTAGCATCGGTTGCCTGTAGTACTGCAATGATCTCCTAACTGGACTCTTTGCTAACATTCTTGTCAAGTCACCCTCATAGACCATTTTCTATGTAGGAGCTAGAGTGATCTATTTTAAAAGGGAGATAATAGCACTCCTATCATTAAAATCCTCCAATAGCTTTCCATGACACTTAGAGTGCAAGCCAAATTCCTTCCAAGGCCCCAATGTCATCTGCCATCTCTCCACCTCATCTTGAACCACTGATGCTCTGTCCACTGTGTCATTCAGTCTCAACTCCAATGTCACCTTCTCAGAGGCTGCCCCATCACCAGCCTCTCACTCTTTCCCACAGGGCAAAGGTTGTGTTCTAGAATCTACAGTTGAATCTGACAGTGTGTGAACTCAATACATCTTTGCCGAAAGACTGTTAATAATTATTGCGGTGACTTTCTGGCTTAAGCAGACATCTGCTGACCCCTAACAAGTTAGCAAGGTTAAATCAGTCTGTCACCTGACTAGTGTCTATTAAACATACCCCCAGAGTGTCAAAGAAAGACCTTCTGCCTGCTCTGAAAGAGGTCACAGTCAAAGAGAGGAGACTGGGTGGCAATCAATGGTAGTGATTTTGAACTGAGCTAAGTGATTTTACACTTATACATAGTGTAAAAGAAAGAGTGGGTAAGCAGTAGATAAAATTCGTGGTAGGCAATGGGCTCAGTGCAGATATGTTCTTCCTAGAAAGAAGACATTTACCTCGTTGTTCAAAAACTAAACGGTTGTTCTTGCTCCTGTTGATGGTGACTACTGTTCAACTAGCACTTTGTAATTCACAAAGCATTTTCACATTTACCAACTCCTACTCTGTACTAGTCCATAGGCTCTTCAAGTGTAGAAGCCGTGTCTTATCCATATACTTCAGGGCTTCATATTCAGTGCCTAGTAAAAGGTCACTATGTGCTGATTGAACAGAAGTCATTAATCCTTACAAGTCACTCAAGAGTTATGTAGTATAAATATTGTATCTCTGCTTTATAGATAAGTTGCCTAAGGTTTGGAAAGCCTAAGTAACTGCTCTAAAATTACACAGAAAGTGACAAAGCTAAAACAAACTTGTGTCTTCTGACTCCATTATACCAAAGCTCCGTCCAAACAGGTACTAGAACTGCTGGTGTGGTTGGACATGCAGGCTGGCCCTTCTGCTGCAGCTGTCACTTCTTTTTTATTATTATTATT